ACTTGCCGGTATTTAGGTAGATTGTATAGAGTGTAACCTGGGAATTGGTAATACTTCAGTTTGTCATCCGAAATGTTAGCTTCCATAATTGTGAAAATGTCTACATCATAGGTTTGCAGGATTTTCTGTATTTGGATCTTTTTGTCCGGAGACATTCCTCCAGCATTCCACTGGAGGATCTGAAGACATTGTGATTCGCCCTGGCGAGGGCGATTTTTCTTATAGCCTTTTTCAAAGCTAATCATAATTAATCGAAGTCAAAAACGTATGCCGATTGATAGACTTTTTTGCCGTAAGAAAATACGTTGTCCAGGGTGCACCACGAGGAGGTAAGTCTATCGCGCACCCCATAAATATATTGACTGGCGAAATCACTCACATATTTAGGGTTAAAGAGGAATTAATTGGAACATGGTAAGGGATGGTTTTGGCATAATTATCTCCAATCTACATATGATATATTCACAAAGAATCGATGGATTATTTTTTCATACATTTAATTTAGTATTGGGCGTATAAATCTAATCAATCAGTAAATAGTTTGGTTAAATCACGTCATTATATAAATTTTTAACAAAAATTAACATCATTTTTAGGAATGTCATAGCTTAGTTGGTTTGCTCTTTGCATGTGTTCACTGGACTCAACATTCATCATGGTTCTTAAAGGGGAATTGACTTTGTTTGGCAGATAACAGAAATGTCTAACGCCTAATCTAACAAGAAACAATTTTAGCTTGAAAAAATGCCAACAACCGACATACTTATCATGGTCATTGTCTTGGGCTCTATCCAAGAGGATTATCTGTGATTGTCGGGCTGTCAACAACATGACAGCTTGGCTATGATAAGTCATTACTGCTCTAACTATTTCAACTTTGGCACGAGGTCTTATTTTTATTTATAAAATGGTAAAATGAAAACACGGTTTCATTTGTGCAGCCAAAGGGTCATTCCAATTACGAGACAGCTACAAGTGTGACCTGTGGCAGCACATGTTCTCTTACTTTATTGCACATTGCACACATACATATTAAAGTAATTAAAAGCAGAAATTTCTCATTGCAGCATGTATTCAAGAAAGTATTTTTCACCTCTCCACCCCCATCTTCTTTTAAGGGGATCGCATGATTAAAATCGTTGAAGGAGTTCTCTTTTCGCATATAATCCAATTTTGGAAAATATACCAGAAGAGCACTATGCAAAAGAGAAAATGTAGTTGACATTGATGCCCGAAGGTATTGTGTCCATCTGTAAGCAGGAAATAATGAGCGAGTGTGACAACCTGATGGAACATTATTATTATTATATCAAATGGCAGGCGTTTTGATAGTTATCATTAGCACTTTAGTTGACTTCAAGCTTCCCAGAGAGGAGGAGGAACATCAAAGTGAGAAGAATTCGGGAGGGCGGGGGGGGGGGGGGGGGGGGGGGGGACAGAAGAGTGTATCAAAGACGAAGGTAGATAAGGTGGAAAAAAGGTGGGATGGGTACTGTGAAGTAGTCGATTATGACATTCAGTCGGATAATGGTGATTTGAAGTCAGAAGTCAACTGCCGGTAAATAGACTTTTTTGCCGTATGAGTATACGTTCCCCAGGAAGCACCACGTGGAGGTAAGTCTATTACGCACCCCCCTGATGGAACATTAGGGAGTGGATACTGAGATGACATTATTGTATTTGATCAATACACAGCTACATGTAATGCAAAATTTACCTTTTTTCCTAGCCATGTTCAAGTTTTTGTCAGGCCTATTCACTTCTGTGCATCTTTACAAAGGGTATATATTGGAGTAACTTTAAGTGATAAGACTGAACTCTTCTCATCATTCAGGGTCAAGTCGCTGAGAAGAAAATTATGCACTTTTAAGTTTCTAAAGCCATTCTGCTTATTGATGTGTATTGACTATAGAAAATGACTTTCTCCACAGTCAAAAATTCAGTTTTTTACAGAATTAGTTTTTTTAAAATTAATTAAACTTGCTAGGCCCTTATTAATAATAATAAATGATAAGAAGTTCTAACATTGCTGTGCTATTTAATTTTGAGTATAAAATTTCCAATCTCTAATATTCATGTGTCTTTCTTTTCAAAGTGGGAACCTGCTCCCTGCAGCTGTTTCAGCGTTGAAATCAGCCCTTGCGCCACCACTAAATGATGTTTCTTTAAATTGGGATGTACGAGTTGACGGCAAGATGGTGAAAGTCCGCACCACTCCACGTCAATTGCCTCCACTTTTTTATGGCCATCAAATGATCGTGTTCGGAGTTATTCCACCAAGTGGTATGCTTTCTTTATCCTTCCTAGTTGAAATGTGTTCAATAACTTTGACGGTGTTAAAAGCATTAATGTAATTAGATTAAGTGATAAAAAAAGCAGTCAGGCAAGTTGGCACCTATTTGGAAATGTGGGATTAATTTTGAAAATAGAGAACTTTACTCCTGAAACTAATCTTTGCATTCTCAATCGCATTTCAAGCAAATTCGTACTCAATGGATTGATAGAAGAAGAAGAAGAAGAAGAAGAAGGAGGAGGCATATGTCCAAATTCGAAATATTGGATGGGAGAATTGGATTAGCAGTCGGATTCTCAGTTAGTCGATTTGCATTTTGGTAGGAATTGGTATAATGGTTCGAGCTCAAATGAATTCTATTTATATATTGACAAACATTATCTAATAATATTTTCAGAAAATATCAATCCTATTTAAGCAAACGCAAGTATAAGCTACCAGATGAAAAAAATCACATTCTACCACTCTGTTTGTAGACCGAAATTAATCAGGGGTTGACTATTCACTTTGATTGATACGTAACGAAGAGTCTAGATCTGGTGACCCACGACTCAGCAAACGGGGAGCGTTTGATCACAGTGCCACAGTAGCGTAAACTTACATAATTGCTAAGACAGCACAATAAATTCCAAAATTTTGTTAATTTTCGCAATTTTCATTCATTCTATTTTACAGAGGAAACAAACAGTGTGGGCAAAGTGGAGGGCACTGTAAAATTGCAGTACGAACTGAATGGCACCATTCAATCATACACCTCCGAAATTCAATCGCTCCCTCTCGTTCAGGAAAGCCTTCCTATTCATAGACTTGCTGCCAAAGTAAAGATAAATGATTTAGACAAAAAGTTGGCCAACACTTTAGCCCTCAAAGTGTGGAAAAAGGGGAATGTCTGTCAGAAGGCCATTGACATCTCGGTCAGTACCAATGTAATTTCTCCATTTACCTCCTACTTTGGAGTCGCTCCAAAATGTGAAGGTTAGTTCACATTCTCAATAAAATTCGTATTATCCATAGCGAATCCAAATTATGTTTTTTTTCTTTACATGTCAAGCTTAATGTTTAGCAAAGTTGTGTTCATAAAAAAGGGGGGGGGGGGATGAAAGACCAGGTGGATCAAGGAATCTTTGATTTTTTTTGAATCACTGAGGAAGTTACCGATTATAGTGCCTTAAGTGTGCAAAATGAATATAATTGAAACATCGGACTTCTTGAAAGAAACTTATTTCAAAAGAAAAGATAAGAATTACATTCATTTTTTTAACAAAAACGAGGAGTAGGTGTCAGACCAGAGAATTTACCTCAGAAAACACAGCATGACCGTTTTTGAAATTTTGAAACAATACATAAATACTTATTATTAAGAAAACGTTTTCATTTCATTTATTTTGTAAAAGTTCAAGCATAATTTAATTGATTTTTTAACTTTTTAGATAATGGTAAAAAACCTCCACGTATGTTCCAGCTTATTTGCACACAAAAATCTCACATTTGCTATATTCTATTGTTTTTTTTTAATTTTAGCTGTTTTAGTCCGTAAGTACATTATTTTCAATTCTTTCTTTAATAAAGCTGGTTTTTTACTTAGCTTTTTCTTATTTACTTTTGGGAAAAATCACAACGTTCTGTAACGATTCATAAATGCGAGGGATCAAATATTATCATAAGAATGATGAGCTGACTAAAGTTGTTTAGCAAGAGCAGAATATATCTAGTTGTTTTCTGATGGAACCGGAGAAGAGAATAGGTGAAAATCGATGATTTTGGTCAGCCGTATACATTTAATTTGTGTGAATTCGGATGTTTGAAAAACGAAAACTTGTGAGCTATGTTGTTATGCCATATCCCACAAGTAAGTTATATTAACAAACTTCACATTGATCATCATAAATAAAATGTGATATTTATGTTCATATTCGAAACGCTTCTAACATTTTTGCCATTGTTTTCTTTCTAGCCATCAGTCAAGGTAAACAAAACTATTTCTTAACTAATTTTACTTAAAATTTTAAATTAACTTTAGAAATGCAATGACTTATTTTGATTTAATATCAAAACAACATAAGAATGTAAGTGCTAGAATACTCAAACTGTAAGCAATATTATGCGGTGGAAATTTTTTGCAGTTATAAAAGTTTAAATCAAATAGTCAATGCCCTATTTTAAAATACCCCGCTAAACCTCTATAGTAACATTGAAATTACACAGGACAAATGGAATATGATAGAGATGCAAAGATTCCTATGACATTCACAATTTATTAAATTAAGAAATTGTTTACATAAACTGACGGAATGTTTAAAATAAGGGGTGCATCAAATAAGATTACCAACCGAGGTTTGGGTTTCTTAAGGCCACTAGACTGAAAGGACCCTTTGATTATCAGTAGTAAAATTAGGTTGGTAAATAAGAAAAAGGGTTGCATAGTTATTAATATAATCAATCTGCCATAATTCACCAACTTAAATTACTTCAGTTGTATAATTATGAATAAATTTTAATTTAACAAAAATTAATTACAAAATTCTAACGACGTATTTAAGTGTTGCTTATTCTTTATTTCAGCCCTACGAGCTTCGAAACGTAAGTACCTAAATTGTACTTGTTTATATTCACACATGAAATATGCTTATAAAACTTATTAAACTTTTAAATATAAAATATATGTATATATATATATATATGTGTGTGTGTGTGTATGTGTGCGTGTTCTGAAATGAAGTTGGAATCGGAGAAGACGAATTTTTGTCACGTTTGTAATAGAAACCAACTCATTAGTTCTATTGAAAGTGCTCAACCAAAAGATACGCCGATTCCTTTTGTGTAGTCAATATTTTCAAATTATTAGTTTTGGCTCCAATGACGAATGTGATTATTATATCACTGGTTCCTGCTCAGCAACTCTTTCTTTCTCCAAGTCAGTGAACCATTCTGGAATGAGCTACTGAATTTCATGCAGATTTTGATTTACTTCTCAACTGAACAAAATGACGAGCTAGGTTATTTGTTTTAAAGTTTGCTGAAAAATGAATGATTTAATAGATGAAAACATCATCAAATGAGTGCAGTTGTGGATCAAGTTAAATATTAATTCCTATGTTGAGTCAAAAATATACATATTAGAAGTTATCTAAAGGCCTAAGGTTGTACCCACTAACATTATAGAGGCTCCAGATGCTTGAATGCCACTGCCATCTAGTCTTCTAAACGTGGCCGATTCCTATTTTTGAGTCATTTTGCCAATCTTGTAACTCTTCACTACAGAAAGTCGATATCTTGTCTTCAAAGCCAAATGGAACAAAATATCCTAAGTGTCCAAATTTATGAAGGCTGTAAGTTACCTAAATATAAATCACAGCTGAGGTTAGTTGGAATAGTTTGGGTATCATTCCCTCTCCCCCTAAAATATATTCTCATTTGAAAGCTGTTCGATTTTCTGCCTCCTTAGTTACTTCGATATGACATTTATGATCAAACAAAATGAACGAAGCCCTGGCGATGGTTTTGTATCGCAACTGGAGTGTTGCAGGGATTTAGCTGTTATGTGAGCATTTGCCCTCAAATTAGAATTTTTGTCTGAAAGGACCCGGGCAACCCACATATTTATTTATTTATATCAAATGGCAGGCTTTATGATATTTATCATTAGCCCTTTAGTTGACTTCAGGCTTCACAGAGGGGAAGGAACATCAAATTGAAAAAAGTCGAGAGGGGGGGGGGGAACAGAAGAGTGTTTCAAAGATGTAAAAGAGACAGACACAAAGGTAGAACAAAGGTGAGGTGAGTACTGTGAAAGTAGTCGAATATGGCATAGAGTGAGGTGATGGTAGTTTGAAATCAGAAGTCAACTGCCAGTTAATAGACTTTTTTTGCCGTATGAATATACGTTGCCCAGGGTGCACCACGTGGAGGTAAGTCTATCGCACACCCCTCCCACATATTTAAAGTAGTGTTAAATACCATTCACCCTTCACCCTCTGGCGGCCTCGGACTTTTTTCAGTTCGATTTCGGTTAAAATATAACCCCGCTTTCAACAAATTCCGCATTATTAATTGCCTTGATTTTTTTCTTAAAGTAAATATTTTCTTTGCAGCACCTAAACCTACTTCAAAACGTACTGATGGACTACTCAATAAATTTAACATAATGAAAAGTGAGAAATATTATAATTTCAATAAGTAAATGCGTTTAGTGTTAGTGTTATTATTATTTGAAAACTTTTTCCGAAATCGGATAAGGTGCATAGAGTTTAACCGACGCAATTTCAATTCAATAAACTTAGATAAACCAAAATACACCTGTCAGTGTAATCATTTTAGTGCAGTTTGAATAAGCATAAGTAAGGGGAGAAAATGTTTAAATTATTTTTTTTCTGCAAATACTTTAGGTAATTCAACCTCGAGAGCTGAGGCTGTGGTAGCAGCAGAACAGCAGCAGTACGAAGGTCATTGGCTTGTGAATAAAGATGTTACAAAATTGCTCAAAATAAGCGAAGAGCAAATTTCTTTGTCTAAACCAGAAAATGGGGAGTTTTCTTTTATTTAATTATCATTATATTTTTCACCATCTTCTTATATTATTTTCCAAGACTTTCGATTCCCATTACAAATGGTTTGAGTATCATTTAGTCAAAGGCTGAAGTAATTATAAGTTTACATAAACTAACTTTGTCTCCAGTTGTCATCTTTTTTACGATTTTCTAAAAATTATCTTAGAACCTTGTTTAAATCATGCATATTATGATAACTCAGCTAATTGGAATTTCTATTGCATTCCTGAAGATCAATGATGTAGTAGTTGTTTGATATTACCTCAATGGCTTTTATTATTTTTTCCTTTTAGTGAATGATTTGCGTGCTTGGGCAACGGTGCTGATGATTGTTTATCTCCGTTTCTATTCGAACCCAGATGAGAAAGAAAGTGAATTTCTCATTTATAAAGCAATGGACTGCCTTCAGAATGAAATGGGTTACAGCAATATTGAGGAGATAATTGAAAAGGGCAAATCGGCGTATGAAATGCTGGTGCATTAAGTTCATAAATTTGCAACTTGAACACTTTCTTAATAAAGCCATTAAATATCATGTAAATTTGAGGACTTATGGTATAATTAGAGGTGAAAACTGCACCAATTAAGCGTATTCAAGGTAGCCGGGATGATATCTAACAGCCCCCCCCCCCTCCCCCACCCCTTGTCAAAAAACTCTGTTCTACTAATACGATAATTCATTCATAATTGTAGTTGAAATATTCGTTGTGTTTACGAATCTACTTGAATTGCTTAATATATAAAAACTAGCTTTTAAAATACAAAAAAATATGGTTGTAAATAGTTAGCCCCATCTACATTGCAATTAAAATGTGTTTTATCAATTAAAATTAATAAATCTGCTTTTCTTTCTCTTTGACATGAGAACGAGAAATGTTAAAAGTAACGCTCAGCTAGTTGTTTTTTGCTTTTACCAAAGAAAAATTTTAAATATTAATTTCAGTCGTGTTAGCTAAAAAATCATCCTAATAGAAATGATTTTCACAAATAATGCACATTTAAATTGATCTGTTTTTCACAGTTAACTTCGTTAAAATTATCAGCTGCAACAGTTTACAAAGAGATTGGTTCTGTTTCCTACTTCAGTAGTATGCGCATGCTCTAGAGTTCGTGGAGTGAGATGGCGCCTTCAATTTCTTATAGGACGAATGCATGCTAGGGAAACTTAGCAAAGGATTGCATGATAAGTGCATGTACATATTAAACGCACTTTCAAATTTCTGAGAAACCTCCAAAACAACAGAGAAAGACCCAAGAAAGAACCAATACGCTTAAACAGCAAATTGCTTACCACCGACAACGAAATAGCTAACTGCTTTGCGAAGTTCTATTCCCACAAGCAAAAGAAAAACCCTTTTGTGAGAAAATCTTCAAGAGATTTAAAGATACAAGTAAGACAGTTTGGTGAAATTAAGGAAGACGTAGCAACACCAAATAACGTACTTACTGAACCATTCCGACCTTGCGAACTTAATGCTGCGATAAAACAGCTAAAGTGCAAGAAGTCTCCTGGCGAAGACGGCATTCATCCAGAATTTCTAATTAGAATGGGTCCAAAAGCCAAGGAAACCATGCTGACGCTTTACAACAAAATCTGGGAGACCAGTCTCGTACCTAACCAATGGAAAGTTGCCATAGTAATACCAGTACTAAGAAAGGGCAAAGACCCTAGCAACTTTGACAACTATAGGCCTATCTCCCTCACAAGCGTGCTGGCTAAACTTATGGAAAGAATGGTTAACAGGAGGCTCACCTGGTTCCTTGAGACTAACAATATTCTTAGGAGTGAACAAGCAGGTTTTAGGCCACAAAGATCAACGAACCAACAAGTAGCCACTCTCTCCCAACACATCAAAGATGCCCTTGATGCAAGAAATACCCTTACGGCTGTTTTCGTCGATTTCAAATCAGCATATGACTTAGTATGGAAAGAGAAGCTAATTCTAAAATTGGCAAAGATTGGTATTAAGCATAACATGCTAAACTGGATAAAAGCATTCATTGGACAAAGATCGTGTAAAGTCAGATATGGAAATGCTCTATCAAAATCCAATCTTTTGCAAACAGGCCTNAATCAATGTCAACTATCCTGCAGATCAATGGCTCCAAGTCTTCACTGATGGGTCATACACAGAAAACCAAGCAAACGTTGGTGCAGGTGTCTATTCTGAACTCTTCTCTTTCTACGCAGCAGCGGGACATAATAGATCCGCTTTTGAAGGAGAAATAGAGGCCATTAGGATAGCACTACGCCAATTATGTTGCCTGGATACGAAATTCACCAAAGCGGTGATACTTTCGGACTCACAGTCAGCAATAAACTCTATTGGAAACAGAGAGACACCCAAAACAGCTGAGATAAAGGAATGTAGAAAACTCTATGAGCTGCTGAGAGAGAAAAACAAAACAGTGGTCCTACAATGGATTCCTGGTCACTGTGGCATTAAAGGCAATGAGATTGCTGACACACTTGCTAAGAAGGGGACAACACTTTTGCAATGCATGGACCGGCCCATGTCTTTCCACACAATGAAGGCCTTAATCAGGAGAGAATTCCAGACCTCAAGGTACAACGAACTCAAAGCTCGAACAAAGGAGAAACAGTGGACAGTGGCACTCTCCGACATACCCGACTGGCCAAGAATCGAAGCCGTTGCTGAGTTTAGACTACGTACCGGACACGATTGCTTGGCAAAAAACCTTCACAGATTGGGAGTATACACTCAACCCACATGCCCTCTATGTAACCTACATAAGGAAATGGAGAAGACCCACCTGATTCGGTGCCCAGCTCTAAAGACAAGGACGGAAAGCCAAAGATACTGGGAAGCAAGAAGACTGCTAATGAACTGCTATTAATTAACTGCTATAAATGTACCCCCCCCCCCTCTTGGGGGAAGCTGAAGTCAAAGATTAAGGGCTAATGATAAATATCATAAAGCCTGCCATTTGAAATATACATATATATATATTAAACATCCTCCAAACCAATCAGAAGTGCCTAAAATAACTAGCACTACAGCGAAGCACTTTTGAGTTGCTCCAATTTTGCAACAATTATGCATAACAATTTTATTATAAGTTTGTAGTTGTTTAATAATCAAATTCAATTTAATAGAATAAAAGCACTAGTGATATCTTTCAGATAAACCAATTTCATGTTTACTATTTTACACATACGTGACTCAAAATTATACAAATTAACACATACCAACACATCAATACTTATCATGAAAGCAACTTTAGTAAACAAACTCAGCCCAGTGAGTTCATACAATTAAAATTAATAAGTGCATTGAATTTTCACACTTACATCATTTCACCGTCTATTTCAACTTGAAATAATTAACCTAACAGTTTATTAGTATAGATATAAATACAAAAGATAAAACATACTACAGCTTGAGGAGAAATCCATGTATTAAATTATGCTAAATAGGGTCACTATATGTAACATGTATTGGAATAATTAGATAAACATTTTTATATAACTTAGATATCTTTATTAAGAATTTAATATTTAAGTAATAAATATTTTAAATTTTAAATGGGGTCAAATATAATTATATTTATATATTAATTTTATTAGCAAATACCTTTTCACGGTAAAGGCGCGAGATAATAAACGGGATTTTCCTAAGGTCACTGGTAGTTGTAAGACATAGTCAGTCTTAAATGAAAAGCCTGAAGGAGGTTCCAAGTAGTGTTTCTCAAATTCCCCTAAGTCTTTATTCGATTTAACTTCTATTGAAATCTAGATTTGAATAGATCTTCAAATGCTAAGCTGACAACTTTTTCCAGACCTCTATTTAGTCAAAGTAATTATAACTGTAATTTTAAGCTTTTAGCTTCCGATAATAACTTAACTTGCGATGAAGAACATACTGAAATGGAAACTAGCTGTGGCTTAGTTGCAGAATCGGAGCCCAGTCGACCACATAGAATGCGTTTTAGAATGGATTTTATATATCCAATTATCAGACGCGATCAAAACGACGACATTATGCAAGTTCCTGTAATATCATCTCAGGATTTCAATGACAATTTTGATATTACTGATCTTACTCAAATGTTGGAAAATACTACAGCGGAGGCTTTCACCAATGAAGGTTCGCTCAAATTTATTACTCCTCACACACATAGAACCCACTCAAGACTTTTCAGAAGTAACTACTGATGCAAATAAAGAAAATTTTGAAAAATGTCATGATCCCCCTCTTGTGACTCCTAATTTTTCTCATGTTTCGAATTCAATGCAGCCATATCTTGAAGTCAAAAATCCAGAAAGAAATACATTTGATGAATCGAGTACTTCTATTAAAACCGAGACCTTGAATCAAAGTATTTCATATTTAAAGCTTATTTGGTTATTGTTGTTAATTTATGGGAGCAGTTTCAAGTTGCCTTTGTAGTTTTATTGTTTATGTTATCCATTTATTTCAAAATTGCAGATGATTTGGTTCAGAATACGACTGAAATTGGATCCCATTCTACTCCACAGAAGTCTCTGAGCGATTGTGCTGAATCTCAAAAATGTAGTTTTATCTGCCTATTTTCTTCCCCATTTCTTAATTATATTTTGCTTACTATTCCTTCTTTAACTATTTGTAGATGCAGCTATGCCAACTCCTGCTTTAGGATTTCCCGGTTTCAAAACTGCCTCTGGAAATTCCCTAAAAGCTCCTTCCGACGAGGCTCTAAAAAGAGCTAAATGTCTCTTGGAAGAAGCAGCTAATTCTGATATCCGGGGTATTTATCCTCATTCAGTTTTATTTCATTGTTTTTGTTCATATAGGTAAATCACTTTCCGATACTCCTGTTCGAGTTGACAAGTCTACAAATCCCACCTTTGGGTTTACGACTGCATCTGGAACCAATATAAAGGTTCCATCTTCCGAATCTATAGCTAGAGCCAAACGTCTTGTTAATGACTGCAAACACTCTATGAAGGAATCAGATGATAAAGGAGGCTTCAAAAATCCGTGTGGTAAGATTCTAAAACCTCCCTCCAGTGCGACACTACAAGAACCCAATGTTTTGTTGGAGGAATCTTCTCTTCATAAAGGTAAGGTTTATGGCTTTGGTTTTTCATTTTCTAGAAAACATCGATTCAAATAATAGTTTAAAAGGTACGTTTGAAATGGCCATTAGAAAGAATTTGAAGTTCGCGTCTGGTGAATCCATCGAGCATATAGGGTGTTTGTTTGAAGACTCAAATACAAATAACAAAACTACTAGTTTGTTCTCGAAAATTTTCGTAAACAGAGCCTTTTTATCTAGAATCATCAGGCAGCTCTATGACAGAAACCACCACGGAATCAGCTGATTCGATGTGCATCATCCAGGCTCCCAATACAGTTTCCTTTAAGCAGTCTAACAGACCCTTAGAACGTTCGACACTCCCCAAAGATTCATCATCAATCATTTCCGCCACTGGTAGTGGTCCAACGCTGCAATTGTCTTCCATGGAATCACTTAATAGTTCTAAGCAACTTATGGAAGCATGGTCTAAGGAGCCAGGTACAATCTTCATGGGTCGAAAGAATGGGGAAACCCCTATTTTAAGTAGTCATAGCCTACCTCAAAGTGGATTTAAATCAGCTTCAGGAAAGACAATCGCTGCAGTATCGGAGGAAGCCATGAAAAGAGCCACTGCCCTTTTAAATGAAGTTACCAAGGAAATTGAAATTAGTCAGGAAGTACCAGCAATTTCAAATAGGATTTCTCCCCCAGTTGGAGGCGGTTTTAAATTGGCTTCAGGGAAAGCAATAGACCCAGCATCGGATGAGGCAATGAAACGAGCGACAACCATTTTTAATGAATGTGCCAGGGAAACTGAAATTATGAAGGAATCAATTACTTCAAACAAGACTACTCCACTTGTTGGAAGTGGCTGCGGGACGGTTTCAGTTAGATCAACTACCCCGGTATCAAATAAGGCAACGGAACAGCCCACTATTCCACTTAATGAATGTGCAAACGAAACAGAAGGTGTACAAGTGGAAATGTCTGCACTTAAATCGCCCTCGCTTGAAATCAGTTCCTCACCATCTCGCAAGGCGGAAAATTCTGAGTTGTCTCCAGTGTTAGATTTTGATGAATCCTTTGAAATTTCCTCCCAGATGATGAATGTGTTGGAGGGGAGAATATCCCAACCTCAGCAAAACACTCAATCCTTATTTATTGAAGAACGGCGTTGTGCACTGAGAGCAGAACAGGAGAGTAAAGCTGCGTCTCGATTTAAGTCTATCAATGCCTCTGATCTCAGTGCATCGAGAATTAATTCTCTCTCTGCTTGTTCAAGGGAGTCCTACTCGAAAACTCATCGGATAATTCATGAACCTTCTTCTCCTGGGTTGTTGTGGAAGCGTCGAAAAATTGGTGGTCATTCCGTTAAAGATATCTCTATTTCTCTTTCCGGCCTTGCTAGCAAAGAGTTGAATTTCGTTGATGATTTTATTCGGTTGGACAATCCCGGACCATTTTCTCTGAATAATGCTTCAGATTTGAGGTTTAAAGTAGACTCGTGTGACTTGCAAATCAGTTATCTCCTCGGAGATGAGGTTGAAATTATTCCTGATTCGTTTGGTTATGTAGGCTGTGAGGAAGTTGTAAGGTGGTTGAAGTTTTTTAACCTTCTTATCTACTTAATTCAATTTGAGTAACGTTTCGTATCTCCTAATTGAAGGGCGTTTGTATGTTCGCCAGGGGTGACCAGTGGTTTGGCAACGCGTCAATGGATTGTTCATCACTTCTGTCAACTTGCATGGCGCTTCGGGTCTACAACCTTGCTGCACTATGATAGTCTTATGAGGAGTGTTTCCACGAATTTAATTCTTCCTCACTCATCCATGGAACGAACCGATGGTCGTCTTCTGCTTCACGCCTTACTGTTGGAATTGAAATACCGATATGACCGAGAGTTAGAAGCTGTTCAGAGGTGAGTAGTTCGTTAATTAAGCTAACTGTTTAAACTATAATCTATTGACCAAACAAACTTAGGCCATTTGTTCTATTATACACTGAGATTATATACTATGGATATTCTCTGGTTAAGATACCACTCTTCTATTTTTTAATATTATTGGGGCTAATTATAAACAAGTTAGAAGTGAAGAGATCTGATGTAGTGTGCTTAAGAAATTAATCGGTGGTTGGGATTAATAATTTATTTGTCTTATAGTTGGGTTAGGTATCTACAGTATTGATCGTATGGAGCGAACGAGTACTCATTTGACAGCTAATTATAATTATACACTGATATTACTTATTTCTAGTAATTAAATCACATTATTGGTTAATGTGTCATCTGTTTTTTCTTATTAATTGAATGAACTTCAATTCTTAATAAGTGTTCTGGTCTTTATTTATAATTGATATGAAAATGTAACAGTCAACCTTTTTGGGGGAGAATTGCATTGATTCCAACGCCCTTAGAATTCAGTTCCAAATTTAAAGGATATTTTTTGTGTTTGTTAGTAGCAAGCCACAGTTTCAATACCTTCATTCAGAGATTTTTTATGCATTACCGTAGAATTTTTCTCATTTTTTTAATGGATGTTATTTAAATTCTCGATATAAAACATTTAATATAATGCCAATCAGTCACACACACAAGAGGTGATCCGTAATCCATGCGAGGATATTGTTGGAAACATTTTCTTAACTGGTTATCTTGAATGCACTGTGCCTGAGGCCCATAGGACCTTATCGACTATCCACTGGCAACCGGTAGATGTTTAGAAATAAGTAACAAATTTGTTAGCGTGTTGAAATGATTTATAGACCTGCTTGATTATTATTCCTTATAAAATATAATGGGATTCGCATTGACCATGCTCCAGCACATAAAGTAAAAGCTGGGAATTAACTATTAACCACTTGTATCATTACACTAACCTCGTTAGACCAGCAGTTCGTAGGATACTCGAACGGGATGACACCCCTGCAAAGAGGATGGTCCTCTGTGTGAGTCACTTAGAAGGCCTACCTAATCATCAATACAGAGTAAGTTAGCTTAATTCCTCTTGTTGTACCTAGCACAAATTTAAATAAAAACAATCATATTACTTGCTCATTTAAAGGGTCGTCTAACAGATGGCTGGTATCATATTGACTGGGTTCCTGATCCTCTACTCACTCGTCTTATTGAACGTGGACGAATAAGAGTGGGGACAAAGTTGGCCACAGCTGGTGCTGAGTTCATACAAGCCCCGTCTGGTTTCGGTGGTGATAAAGGAAAAGAGTGTAAGGGAGAGGATGCTCATCTTTACGGGCAATTTTCGAATGGATTGGCTTTGCGACTCAATGGCAATTCGACTGTGCCGGCACCGTTCAATGCACGGCTGGGTTTTGCAAGTCATCAACCAATGGCTAATCTCCCACCAATTCCTCTCTCTTCTATCACATCGGACGGTGGGGCTGTGTCATCTGTCTGTGTTCTTATTCAGGTAAAAATTTCCAGGAATATTGAGAAAGGCGTTTTGGATAGGGGAGGGGGGGGGGGGCTTCAACGAGCCTCAAGTTCTTCTAGGCCCTTCATTAGCGAGACTTAATCAGTGCGGTTGACTTCTCCCACTGAGTGTGCGCCAATAACATTAACCACGTCTGACTTAACAGACGACCTCCGGGTCACTAGTGTCCATATATTTCTTTATTGACCTTAATCTGAATCACTCAAGACAAATTTACCCTTAATTTATGTTAGTAATTCAAATTAAGTTCTAATTTTGAAAGCTCTTGTCGTTTGTTCAGCTCCTATTTGGCTGAACAACTTTTCTAAACATCCACATTTTCCCAGTAAAAGTGTGTAAGCTCATGATAAGATCCCTACTGATTTTGATAGTTTCAACTGATGGCATAGTAGTAACCAAAAAAGAATGTTAGCGTATGATGAGTCCAAATTTTTAACTGAGATAATTTTGTTATTGGTTATTTAATTAGAAATTTGAACACAGAATGGGTTCACAATTGGCTTGAGGTTTTATTTAAGATTCAATTTGTGCATAATCAATCCCTAATAGTCTCTTAAACCGCTCGAATTTTCATTATGTATTGCTCGTTTGCTTGAGTACTTTAAGAAGCGGTACCACTAGGGCTTCGAAATTGATCGTAGCATGCATACGACACTTTTGAGGTCATGAAATGAGCTCTACTGACGTCAATTTTATTTCTTTCCACCTATGGTTGCTCTACTATTTCTTTTATAGAGACGCTTCCAATTGCAGTACATGGAAACATGTTCGCCAGAGGATGGAGAGGCGAGCGAAACAGAAGGATCTCGCAGACAACACGTCTTTCGTGATCCTCGATCTGAGCAAGCAGCCGAAAGAAAACATGCCGAAAAGTGTCAACGAGCTTTTGATAAGGCTCTTGGTGAATTTACCTCATCCAAGGGTAATTTGGCTATCCTTCCTTGATTATTAGCTTACTGTGGTAAAGTGGTGGGGGCTGCGCACAAAAAAATTTAAAAAAAATTCCAAAGAGAGAGAGAGTACGTCTTTACAAGGTTGAGTCCTATTTTAATAGATCTCTCTCTCTCTTACTTTTACGAGGTCATATGAACTGATTTGGGCTTTTCAATCATGTCCGTTCATGTATTCTCGCCCCTTAGAGGTAAATCAATTGTCAGTGAGAAAATGATTTGCTTGTTTTGCGTCTTATTGGCGCATTTTAGAAGTTGGCACGTTAATATCCAAGCTCATTGTTATCCTTCGTGCCTTTTCGTTAAATATTATATATCAACTCCATGTTTATACCATAAGTTGCATCTCAATCTATGGGAAGATTGAATTCCAATATCCCGTATTCTTGAACTTTCCCAGACTGTGACTAATGCCAGTCCCTGGAAACTAAAAGGCATATTTCTGTAATTTGGCTGACCGGGATCGATTGCTCCTTCGTGGTGTAGGTTTTGTATTAATTGGAACTCACTTATCGGTCAATTCAGAGTAGCAAGCCGTGTTGTGGACGACTTGGCATTCAACGAGCCACACGTCTCTAAGTATTGGCCTATTCTTGATTTAGAACATTAGTTTAATGTTGATTTTCTTCCTCTTTTTTAGGCAGACGCGGTCGTCGATCTCAACCAAAGGCTGCTTTCCTCAATTCTCTAGGACTGGATGGTGAGGCCTTGTGGAATGCAGTTAATAATGCTCTTGATCCCGGTCTTGCTGAAAGTGATCTGTCTGCCGCTCAGCGTGATGCTATGCTCCGGTACAAGGAGACGGCTATGCAGGAAATTCTCTCCCAGTCTATTTCCAAGCGAGAGGTGCGTTTGTGATTTCTTCGCTCTCATAAATCTCGCGATGACTACATTTATTAATTCTAATCTTGTCGACCCTCAGGTTACGCAGCTTTTGCGACTTCAAGTAGCTGGTATTCATCCTCAAGATGTCAGAAAGCGTTGTGGTGAGTTTAGTTTTGAGGAGTTATACACAATTTTTTAACTTATCAAATATTAATATGTCTGACTTGTAGAACTGCCTCTGACATTGTGGAATCCAACTGAAGAAATGGTAGAAGTTTTACAAGAAGGATCTGTCGTCCAATTAACTCGAATTAACGTACGCTTGCTTTATTCACCTATAATTAATTTTGTTGTTACCTCGTGGTTCAACCTATCCTACACTTATCTACTGAAATTCATACAAGTAGCTGTATGTTTTAGGTTTCGACAACACGTATTACAGATCCGTTCGCATCCCTCTCTTTGAGTGCTACTGAAAATGGGCAATTAGTGAGCTTGTCTGGTAGTCGCGGAACAAAAGTTCGCCCTTTAAAGGCAACACAGATGGTAAAGTTCTTCAAACAGGGTAAACCGACGGATTCGATGTCAGTTCAAGATCTCATTGAAACTATCTACCGACCAAGGCACTTTTTTTCCATTGGAGAGTTGGCGACTGTTGTCGGAGATTCATCTGGTCAGTAATGTTTTTTAATAATTTTATAATTATTAACAATTATTATATACTGTTCTGGTGTCTTAGTGTTAGTGGTCACGAAATCAACACTTTTAGCTGCATATCCATTGTTGGCACGGTGATTTTCTTCAATCAGAAAATAATTTCTCCAAAATATTTGAGCGTTTGAATGCGTCTTTTTTGAATATTTTAACTTTATTTGAAGCTACCTCTTGCCAGCTCATCAGTGAGGTTTGCTACTCAAAATATATGCCTATCGTAGGGTTGAAATCCCAGTATTTTCCAATGGGAACTTTAGTTAAGCATTTTGCAAGAAGTGATCAACGGAAAAAGGGATCATTTTGTCTTTACCTCTGTCCTCACCATTTGTGGAGTTACTTTATTGTTATGGTGATTAATGTCACTTCCGACGGTAAAGTGAGTGTCAATGCTACTGTCAACTTGCATTTATGTCTCGTAGATGTAAAATTCAGGGCAGTGCAGATTTTAAAGTTGGAATATTTTTTTACCAAACTCGCATTGACTATTCATTATTCAGTAAGCTTTTTCTAGTAGTAAATTGAGTTCAGCTGCAGGTTTTTACTATGAGTAATTGAAAGTTGCATTTGACTCACTTGGGTGTGAGTTGCTTGTGCTCCGCTAGTGTTATTACTACTACTCAGTCACCTGTTGATGCCTAAAAGCAAAATATAATTGTCAAGTTTAAAGTTTGATTGGTCTCTTTGTGTCCATTTGTCAAAGTTTTAGAATTAGATTGTGGTGTTTTATAATTTCAGGAACCCTTTATGTCACAAAACATGTAGGCTGTATTTACCTCTATGTACACACACACACACACACACACACACACACACACACACAACACACACACACACACACACACACACACACACACACACAAAGAGAGCTGAAATCGCTAGCTCATTCCTGTTCTTTTTGCATTCAGATCGCGCAAAGGTTGTGAACTTTACAGCCTTCGTGGTTGGCACAAAGACTACAACTTCCGCGACCACAAGGATTTCTGGTGGTGGTGGTGGAGGAGGAAGCAACACTTTCAAAATTAACTCTGACCTCGGAGTTGTCTATCTTGCCTCATTGCGTGGCGAGGATGGTGAGGAAGATTTCAGCACGATTGCAGTCCTTCGGATTTGGGGAGGACTTGACGTTCGTTCTCTGCTTTCTTTTTGCTCCTTAATTAACAACTTACTTTGATCCACCTTCCGCTTCTTTTTCCTAGCGCTACTGTCTCAGCTCCGTGCTCTCAGCAAGAAATCGAGTTCGTTTTACTGACGTGCAACTCAAAAGCATCAGTAAGCTTCAATTGGATCCTGACTTCCCCCCTAATGGAAATCAAGACGTCAATTGTGTCCTCTTGAACTACACTGCAGCTAGCTATGTTACTACTGAAACTGCACCAAGAGATATTTCAATGAACAAACGCTTTCAAACTCCGTGGAAAGAGGTATTAAAGTCTCACTTTCAGGTTAAATTGTTTTGTGGATTTTTGCATTTTCGCCATTAATCCTTAGGGGGTGCAGGTTCGATACAGTGTGATTAGAAGACCCGCCTTAGTGTACTCAATGTGGGACAAAATCCCCAATATTCATATGCGCATTTATTTCGAAATTTGAAGGAGATTTTTAGCTCTAACTGCTTTAGTTACTAATGTGGGTAATAATTTCGGGGTTCGTTTAAGGGCCTAGTTTGAGGCTTCAAAAGGGTTCTACGTGGAAGTGTTCGCGACGCTTTACTTGAGTCACACTATCAGAAGCTCGCATTCTCTAATTCCTCTCATGAGCCCGAATTCATAACATTACAATTGTCCGTCTACTTCGACATAGATATCTACATCAACCATATTTGCTAGATATATTAAACGTCAAGTTGTGTTAATTTGCATAATGCTTCCCAGTTCCCATGGAAGAAAACATTTTTTCGGCAATTTTCCTCACTTGACAGAGGACATATCTATGAAATTGTTGAAAATTCACTAGTTATCTAGTCCTTGAGCTTTGATAGATGAGCTAATTACAAGTGCATTCCTGTTGTTTCAGAAGACTTCCTCTAGTAGTATATAAAATGTTTTTTTTCGTTCAAAATGTTTAGACGCCTCAGCTCTACTCCTTCATGCAGGCCTGCATGGAGTCCCACTTCCAGAAATTTTTCTCTGGAACCTCCTTGGTACGCACCCCAGCATCGAGATGTCTTCGTTCTTCTGCCCGCTTTGCCTCACCATTAATTTCTGCGTCAAAAACAGAATCCACCTCTCCACCTTCTAGCGTTAATGTGAAGGAACAGAGTAGTGTCGTCAAGCATGAGGTGTCATCTAGTTCCTCAATTACAAGAATCCGAACTAGAACTGGTCTTTGTCGCCCACGAAAGTCAATTTCCGCCGCTCTTGCTGCTTCAACTCCTAATACTTCTCTTATTCAAGATACCTCGGTAGTTAAAGAGGAATTCCCGACCCCATTGCATCCAGCACCCTCTGCATTTTCAACTCCCCTCTCTGCTAAACGTTCATTTTCGACGAGTTTGGGTAAAATGGAGTCAGTCGTACCGCCTGTGCTCGAAAGATCATCTCCCATCGCAAAGCGTCGAAGATCCACTTTGTTTGCATCTTCTATTCCTATGCAGAGTTCTAGAGCTTCCCCCAGGTTGGAAACTTCAAATTCATCTGCGTTCGATCACCATGTGGTCTCCCCCAATTTCGACTCCGATACTGAGTCAACTGAGCCCCAAAGAACTGAGATAGAAGCATCAGAAATGAAAACTTCGGATTTTGGCCCCTCTTCTCGCGGTATTAATTCTGATACTACCTCAACTGAACCCCAAAGAAATTCTAGTGCATCCTTACAAGCCATTACACACCCAGAATCCTCTCTAGAAGCGAATTCTTCTGTACTGTTTGAAGATACTCCATCGTTGGATGTGAGCATTGCCGATTTGGTGAAGACTAGGAAACGCAAGTGTAACTCGCAGACTTCATCTCCCGCCCCAACCCGGAAAAAATCACTCAAATTGAGGGGTACTCAATAGGTACCAGCGTTTGTGTATTTCACTTTCAGAGTTTGTATCATTTTGATAAGAGAAAGTTATTTTTACGCCATTAATCTTGCGGGGTCGCCTTAACTTCGAATGTGTGAGTTGAGGGAGAGGTAGTAAACGTGTCGTCCCGATTTGTCGCGTGTCTACTGTTTTAAAGGTCTGTGTGTGTGTGTGTGCGGTGCGCGTGTGTGCTCGAGTGGAAGTGACCAGGTGGTACTCTATTCCCAGCCATTCGTTGTCGGCTACTTTTCGATACATGTGTTGTCTTTCGGCGTATTATCTTGGAGAGAGAGTGGTTTATCCTCTTCATCTCATTTTGCATTATGTGCCCATAAATTTTAAATCGAAGAGAGCCTCCCGAGGTAAATGTTCTCGTATACATTTGACACTTAAAAACGTGGGTTTTAAGCTTAAAAGTCACTTATATAAAGTGCCCAGTTAAGTGGGGGGGGGGGGGGG